ATAATTATATTGTGGTAGTGCCCGATAATATCAGTTTCCACTCGTATTATATGGTTAAAAACAAAAAATCGAACATGTCCCAACACTAATGTAAAAATACATTTACCCCCTGATAGTACTTAAAGTAATTTTAAAGCAAATTTAACTGTAATACATAACTGGAGCTGACTTTTACTGTAAGTTTGAGATTTATAGATAGACTAGCTGACCCAGCGAACTTCGTACCGCCCTAAAAAAATAGGGGTTGTCCAGCGGACAAAATTGTGAATCTAAACCATTCTCAGATCCCCTTGAACACACACAAAAAATTTCATCAAAATCGGTCCAGTCGTTTAAGAGAAGTTCAGTGACATACACACTCACAGAAGAATTATATATATAAAGATACAAGAACAAAGACATACGGATGGTTTGCTATATTTACCCCCGATCGAGGGCAAATGTGACTAGAGTCTGTGCGGAAAGAAAATGGACGTGGCGAAAAACGGAACTAACATTAAGATTTTTATTTGGCAATCAAACCCAGCAATCTGTAAAACGTTAAAGTTTTGTATTGATACGGATTTGTTTGTTGTTGTGATTTCTTGCGGTTTTTTGTATTTAATCATGTCTAAAAGGGGTAAAACCTTACAAATACGGTAGAAAAGCACTACAGCGCCCTCCAATCTAAATCCCATTCTCTTTCCGCACAGACTCTATTAGCGGCGTCGAGTGGATTATCTTCAATTTAAAATGAATGTATTGACTTCCCGAATCGATTTATTAAATTTATTGATTGATCTAAACTCGTCTGCGTTTTATTAATAAATGTGTAATATAAATAATTAATTGTATTTGTTACATTGTCTTAATAGTTTAAAAATATTCAAGTCACAAGTTTGACATACATTTTTAGTAGCTACAATAGCCCCGGGTGACCTAACAAATATATAAGTTTAAAAATGGCAAATATGGAAAAGAGCAAGCGGCACAACGTTGTGAAGCGGCAGGAGAGCCGGCGCGCGACTATCCCGCTCCGTGGCTCTAGACTGGCTCGAGTATCTTCGGCGTGCGTCTCCTGATGAGCGCTGCGCCTTAGCACGGTAATATTATCTATACAGTATTGTGACTCCGCCCTGTCCTTGAAAATAAATGCCTACGGCCGAGCGCTGCGTTAGCACGCAGTAGGGCCGATCGCCTACAGTATTTTATGTAGTTTTGTTTTTAACGCGAGTGTAGGTAGATTACTCGTTTGTCTCTTTTTTCATCCTAACCACTTATTTATATATTATTCCAGATATTTTGCCCGATGGAAAAACCGAAATACCTAAATATTAGAAACAAATTACGTACTAGTAGATAGGTATATAAAAAATATTCTATAAAGGTAAGACACCTTTCCAATATTTCAGGTAATTTAAAAAATGATATCTCTGGGTGTGTTATTGAAAAAGTTCAAGCAACCAAAAACAGCAATTGTGCTGTTGTACGATATTGATCGTCATTTGTTCTTTTCCATACTAAATTATGTAGGTATCTACATAATTAAATCAAATATTTACAATATAAAACGCATAAAAAACAATTCAGACCGTTCGGTCGTCGTTGCGGCGCGGCGGCGCATTCGCGACTGGGTGCCCGCCGAGAGCCCATCGAACTCGACTGACGTAGGTATGACTCGCTTTCCGATCGTTTGTATGAAGATAGAATACTGTATGATATTATTACCGTGGCCTTAGTATCACGCTAGCCCTAACATGGCTATTTGTATTTGCTATTTGACATTTTGACAGCAGGTTGACCGTTTTATGGAATCAAAAGGAGAGACGGGAGACTGTTGTCAAGTTTACAATTAGCAAATACGAATAGTCATGCGAAGTGCCAGCAGCCAGCAGCAGCAGCAAAGTGCTTTTGCTCTTGTACGTATCCTTGGAAACAAACTTATGACCGAAGAAACGAAGATCTTTTCTGAACAATCATAAATGACGTGTCGCCAGTTGCTGCGTCCCTGTGACTTAATGTTGACATTTCAATACTTAATTGAAGTTTTGCCACAGACTTATGATTCATGAAAGTTATTTTCGTAAAGAAATTGAAAGGGTTTCTGTTACATTTCATCATCACAACTAGCTTATTAATGTCCCTACAGCTGGGGTACAGACCTTCCCTAAAGATAGAATAGGGAGATTAGGTCATACATGACCCACCACGAGGGCCTAGGACGGATTGGTGGCAAGGGCGGATCCAGCTTTGGCGCCAGGGGGGGTCATATAGCCAGCTTTGGCTCCAGGGGGGGGTCATATAGTCGTGGTATATTAAATATTGAAAGTACTTAAATAAAATCCCCCTAGGTTTTGTCCATCTGTACCCCCCCCCCCCCCGGATCCGCCCTTGATTGGTGGGAGTCACGACTGCTAATGTAGCCGGAACAAACGGCTCAATGTGCCTTGTGAAGCACGGAGGAGCTCTAGGTAATAAGATTTTGGTCAACCATCCAATGACCCGTCATTGCGCAAGTTGCTTAACTTCCAGGAACGCAAGCCAAACGCGCTAACCCGGCTGTGCCATCGACCTCCTCTGTCCTATTTCTCTAATACTTTTACCAATTTAAAATTAACTTCAAAAATTTCAAATAAAAATCCAAATTTATATACAGGGCGTCCCACGGCTACCTCACACGGAGGGAAAGTACATTAAATATTGAAGATAGGATATTTTACTGAAAGAAGACATCATTTTATTTTTAATAATAACTAGAACTGAACCGATTGAACTGATTCACAGATTTTTTAAAATCGCCAGCTACAACTTTAGCAGGCGATTTAAAAAAAATCTGTGAATTTAGTTCTAGTTATTATTAAAAATAAAATGACGTCTTCTTTTAATAAAATATCCTATCTTCAATATTTAATAAACTTTTCCTCCGTGTGAGGTAGCCGTGGGACGCCTGTATAAGATGATCTGTGTTGACAACAAAGGTCAAATTTCAAAATTTATTTGATTTATATTAATAAATATTTCTTGTTATTAGAAGACAATGCAATTACGTATCTATTAGTTAACTTAGCTGTTTTGACAGTTTAATGTGAATTATCATTAGGCAAGTGGGTCAGGATTCAGGAAACAATTTGTTCTAAAGTGATAATTCAACTGCTCATAATATATTGATAAACTTGACCCAAAAGTAAACTGTTGTCCTAATTTTAGACTTCATTAAGTAGGTAATGATAAGGGGAGACTAAAGTTCTCAGCGATGCTAGTACAAATTTGAGATACCTACTTCTTAATGAAATTATATTGTCAATTATTATAGTAACACCTTTTTTGTATTAATTTTCAAGATTTTTAGAGATTGAAATCAAAATGACTCACCTTTAGTAAATTAACTTAAAGACTCAGGCATTGTCCTAATACAACGCGATAACGCGATCATCGCGCGTTTAAACGATACCTATTCATCATTAAGGCGCTTTGCAGACGACGGGGCGGGGCGGGCCGGTCAATTTCGCCGCGAACGATAGCACAAAGTTAATCCTATATTACAAACGCACACAGAGGGCAAAAAGACACTGGCGGCGCGGCATGTCCGCGGCTGCCTGCCGTAATGCAGACGGCGGCGCGGGGCGGTCAGCTCAGTCCGCACCACGCGCTTTTTAGTGATGGACTATTCACTAGAACGAACGTCCTGAACTGATCGCCTCTGCCCGTCGTGTGCTTTGTGTACGCGGCGCGGGCAGCCGCAGACATCGACGGGCAGACGCGGTTTTTATTGCTTCGCGGGCATAATGCCCGCTCCGCCCCGTCGTCTGCAAAACGCTTTATAGGTTTGATTGCGCGTTCGCGCGAATAGATTTTTAAACATTTTAGACGCGCGAATGCATCGCGCGATCGCCTATTAGGACACCTATTCTAGATCAATATGTTTTATCGTCGACTCGTACGATGATCGCATCGCTCATTCGCGTTGTATTAGAGCAATACCTTAGTATAACTTTAATTTTGTATTCAAATATTTTGTTAATCTTTTTTTAATTGTACGTATTTATGAATCTGAAGAAAAAGATATCAATAATAGTGTCTGTTCATATTGGTTAGGTATATATTTATTACATCGAACATGTAAGTAGTTCTTTGGACATTAACATAGATATTGAGCATTTACAGTAACTAATATAACGTAAGCTTTGTAAATGGCTTAATATGAAATTCACAACAGTTAATGTAATGCAAGTGCAGCATAAGTTGAGCTACATTAACTGTTGAGAGAAATGTTTTAGACAAAATTGATAACAATGAATTTAATTGGAAAATGCCCTTAAGTATTGGACGGACATTAGTGATGTTGTATTGATAATTTCAAAACAATATATTCTTTTAAAAAGCTGTATTTTGTTATAAAAACAACAGAAAATTGTAACAAATTATCAGTTTTGTTAATATTCACTTATAAGTAATTATATTATGTGCAGGTCTACACAATATTACAGGTACATGTTTTACTAACTCATTATGTTAGTATCATTTGTGAAACTTAAATCAATAATATATTTTGCTTGAAACTCAATATGAAATGTTTCCAGATACAGTCCAATCTTTGGTTGGTTGTTTGTGATTAACTAAGGTTCAGGAACCATTGACGAATCTTCTATTTCCTAGTCTTTCACGGTATAATTTGTAGTAACATGTAATGTGCAGTTTTCATCCATTGGAAAATTTTCAAGTAATAAACTATGTAGGTTATAAATTTTCATATTTTTCTTTTACAATGAATGTAAATATCATTCATCATAAACCTCTCAATAAATAATAAGACTATGATAAATATGGGCAGACTAGTGTGAACTAAGAATAATCCAATCTAAATTTGTATATAAAATCTACATTCAAAAATAATAATGAATTTCTTCATTTCCAAATCGTATTAAATAATTATTTTTAACTTCTTTTTACCAGGCCTAGATACCACACAACACCTTAACTATCTCCAATTAAAAACTTATGCTTATACAATGTTACATTTACGCTGCAAGAATCTTTATAAGTGATCAGATATTTAGATGCTATTTACCTGCACTTCTTGATTACTTCTCATAGAGAGGTAAGTATGAAGAGGTAAGCCCAGGGCCAAATTAAAGGCAAGGCAGGTGGACCTGACCCCACAACAGAGATAAAAAGAAAAAATTTTGATAGGTCAAAATGGGTTCGTTAGGGGCCTCCACTCCTTCCTTGCCCCAGAGCCCCCACACCTCTAAATCCGGCCCTGGGTAGTCCAATAAGCACCCAATAGTTTAATCACTGGTCATATTATGTACACATGAATTTAAATCTAGTGAAACAGTTGTTCTAGCAGCATGTGGATTGGACTGTTTCTGCTTCAAGAAGATTGAAATCCATACCATTGGGTCTGTTGAAGCCAGTCTTGATGCCATCCCAGCCATCTTCAACTTTATATTCACCAGTTTGAATGCGATTGTATACTTCTTGAGCAACTAGCACAAATGCTTCTTCTACATTAAGACCAGTTTTTGCTGATGTCTCTACATGGTGAAGACCTATAACAAATTTATATTTATTCATTATGCAAACAAAAAAGATTTAAAACACCAACATGTTTTAAAAATATTTACCATTCTCTTCAGCAAACATTCTAGCTTCTTCACACGATACTTCTCTCCTTGCACCATTTTTGTTATCAGTTCCGACTAAGTCAATTTTGCATCCAACTAGAGCAAAAACAGGTCGATGTGGTTCTATATGCCTCTTTGCCTCCATCATCCAAAGAGGTATGTGCTCGAAACTAGACCTGTTACATACGTCGTACACCAATAATGCACCTACTGAGTTTCTATAATAAGATTTTGTAATAGATCTAAATCGCTCTTGACCAGCGGTATCCCATAGCTGTAGCTTGATTCTGGTACCGTCTTGTACTTCTATAATCCTTGCGAAAAAATCTACTCCCACTGTAGGATCGGATAGCTAGAATTCAAATGAGTAATTTATATGAAAATCACGGAAAACCTTGTCAACAACACGAAAACAATAGACAATAAATACCTCTGCAAACTTTCCTTCAGTGAAATATTTCAATAAAGAGCTTTTACCAACTGTGCTATCACCAATAAGGATGAGCCTAAATTGGTAGTCAAATATAGGATCAACCATTTTTACAATTCCGCTTTTTCATTAATTGAAGTGCAAAAGAAACAAAGACCTTCGTCGCTTTGTGAAATTACGTCTCAAAATCACAGCACAGATTAAACAAGAAATATTCATAAATATTGTATTTTTTGGGCTCCCTTTTTAAGGAAGACAAAAGAAACAATGGTCATACAGTCTAGTGTTTACTTTTCTTTGTTATCTTTTTTTACATTAGAATGTGGATGTGACGCATTCTAAGGTTTCTTGGAGTATTTGGCATGAAATGTATCTATAATGTATGAATAGTCCGCATTCTGGTTAAGCTTGTGTGAAATATACGCTGTGCTGGTCAAGTGTGTAGTCCACACTACAATAAAGTTCTCACGTCCACTTGACCAGAACAGCGTATATTTTAAAGATTCCACTAATTCTTCAGTTGTGCAGACGGTTGTAACACAAAATCACACCAATTTTATTTCACAATATCCACTATGAACGAATTAAAGAATAATTAAAATTAGACGTTAACCGCACTCGATGAAATCCCGCCAAAATATTATACATCGTGACGAATTCTCTAAACTTTAAGCTAAATTTAATTTCATTCTGTATAGAGAATGACAAGGATACTGTTGTCAAATTTAAATTTAGATTTAGAGAATCGTGCCAGAATCGACACCGTTGGCACAAGTACTAGTGTCGGTTCTGGCATGACTATCTAAATTTAAAACTGTGATAGACCTATTTTATTTAATTTTTCCAATCACGAAGAAAAGGATATCCATACTTTATTCAGTTAACTAAAATCCAAATTTTAACCACCCCAAGGGTACGGCCAGTGCACTCAGATTCAGATTCAGATTCAGACTCAGAAAACAAGCGCGAGAAATAGGGTGCGGCCAGAGTGCACTCAGATTCAGAGTCAGATTCAGATTCTGAAAACAAGCGCGAGAAATAAACAGTGTAGTCTAAGCAGGTTGCCTGCTTTTTCTCGCGCTTTGTTTTCTGAGTCTGAATCTGAATCTAAATCAGGAGTGCAATCTGGCCGTACCCTTCGACTACACTGTTTATTTCTCGCGCTTGTTTTCGAAATCTGAATCTGAATCTGAATCTGAGTGCACTCTGGCCGCACCCATAAACAGTGTAGTCGAAGGGTACGGCCAGCGCGAGAAATAAACAGTGGGTGCGGCCAGAGTGCACTCAGATTCAGATTCAGATTCAGATTTCGAAAACAAGCGCGAGAAATAAACAGTGTAGTCGAAGGGTACGGCCAGAGTGCACTCCTGATTCAGATTCAGATTCAGACTCAGAAAACAAAGCGCGAGAAAAAGCCGGCAACTTGCTTAGACTACACTGTTTATTTCTCGCGCTTGTTTTCGAAATCTGAATCTGAGTCTGAATCTGAGTGCACTCTGGCCGTACCCTAAGCAGGTTGCCTGCTTTTTCTCGCGCTTGTTTTCTGAGTCTGAATCTGAATCTGAATCAGGAGTGCACTCTGGCCGTACCTTAAGCAAAGAAACGCTGTCATCAACATTGTTTTAATGTCTGTGTTTGTAATGCCGTCACTTCACATGGTTCTTATTTTTCTTTACTTTTTTAATGGCATGCACGGTTTGTGCGTTCAGCCAATGTCAAGTATTTTAGTTTTTTTTTATATCTTTTTTTCCCATCTTGAGAAAGGCAAAGGCATGCAGCCATAGTCTTCATTTAAAAAGGATATTTTTTGGTGTTTTTTTTCTATAAAGCCGAAGCTACTTCTTCCATTATTTTTGTTACCTATTTATAATCTTGACATCAATTTGTCCTTTTTTTTCTTATAAAGTATGATAAAGACAGACTGTTGTCAAGTTTGCAAACAGCAAAGACGAACAGCTATTTCAAGTGCCAATGCCGGCATGAGTCTGTCTGTGACTGTTGTTTGCTTTGCGCTCGCCATTGCTGTCACATTTAAAGTTCCCAACTATAAATCTTGTTGTTGTTGTTTTTACTTGAAACATGAATTCGATCTCTAGGTGTAAATAATTTAAATATACGTTATGGCCTCATTTTGTTGAATATTGATAACCGTACGTGAGACGGGATTTGTTACGTTATAACCTAAGCTAAAGTGATCAACCAAGGGTTTGGGTTTGGGACTTTGGGCTTACAAGGTTGAGTTTACACGATTTTTTTGAGTAAGTATGCTTATTAACTGTATAATGTTGTTATAGCCTCAGCTAGATGATGAAACCCTATTGTTTCAGATAAACAATATATCAAATAATGAGTCTTACCCAGAATTATAAGACGAAAGAGCATGCTACCGAGTACAGTGAAAACAAAACTAGATCAACGCCAGTCGGTACGTGTTTAAGCTAAATATTATAAACCTTATATAAATTAGTAGGTACTGTAGTACTTAGTTGGTATGAATACATAATTATTGTAAAAGCCATCGGTAAACTAAGAACTTACCCATATATTTTTTTTGCTAATTTTACTTTAGAATGTATTGAATACTTTTTAATTATTAGCAATGGTCGCACCGGAATTGAAACACAGTGCGGACGTCGATACAGAAATATCCAAAACTTGTGCAGTGCTTGGTTGTGAAGATTCAAAAAATTTGGATCCTCAATCTTTTTTCAGGTAATTAAAGTAAAGGCTCAAGTAAGAAGACACTTTTTGTTTTATTTTTTTATAACGAGGTAGGCATATGTCTCTACCTCACCTGATGTTAAGTGGTGATAAAGTCCAAACGCTTTAATACAAGACACAGTTGATTATACACCAAAGCTGATGTTAAGTGGGTAATGGATTTGCATTGCCAGATATCCTGATTGAACCCAATCCCTTACACTAAGACACCCCTTAAACATCTCTCACTGAAATAAAAATATCAACATCAATAGGTGTTCCAATTTGAGCAGAAAACTCACTTTGCCTTGTTTTACTTAATAACTTACCTACCTCCTAACACTATTGTGTAAACAGCTAATGATAACTGTCTGAAGTAAAAACATTCTTGATCTACAGATTTCCTGAAGATGGAAACCTGAAGCAAATATGGACAGACCTCACTGGGCGTAACAACTGGACACCCACAGATTACTCATACATATGCATTCAACATTTTTCTGTTGACTGTTTTGAATGTGATTCATCGAATACAATGGTACTTGTTGACAGTGCTGTACCTTCATTGAAACTGCCAAAACATGTTTTGGAGGTATGATCTATAATATAATAAATTATAGGGCTCAGCTTTCCATTAGCTGTGGTTGAGTTGCGAGCTGAATTTTTTGTCACGTAAAGTATTAATTATTAGAAACATGTACACGATTTTTTTTACTTTTAATTTTATATATTTGCTATTATTTACTTGGTAATTAAAAAATAGTATGGGCTCAACACTTAGAAAAAAAGGTAAATGTGGCTTTACAACAATCTTTAATTCAGAACCGACTTGGTAAACCCCGACACGCCGTGGTCTTGGTCTGCCCTACCCCTAGAATGTTTTTTAGAGCGCGGAGGGAGAGCAGCCCCTGACTTTTTCACGCAAAGGCGGAGGGGCTGCTATTCCCGCAGCGCCGGAGATAAGGCAGAAGTACTGGTTCATACTTCCCTAGTCCATGTATTCTAAAAAAAATATGAATTTTTAGGTTAGGTTAATTTAAAAAAAAAACATGCATTTCCGCCTAAAATCTTTATTGGGGGGGGAGTCAGGGAGACCTTCCCCTCCCCCCCACATCAAAACTACCCCGAAATTCAACCACAGCTAATGGAATTAAGTACCAAAATTTATTGTGATATTATAAATTATATATTATAAACAATATTCTAGTATTATAAATGAATGAAAGTTCTAATGTTTGTTACACAATCACACAAAAACAAGTGGATGTATTTAGATGAAATCTTACAAACGTAAAGTTCATTACCTAGGTTAAGACAGGATGCCTTTAACCTAGAAAATGTTAGCTTCCTATGGGATTCTCAAAAAATAAACCTAACAAGGGTGAGGTTGTGGGCAAAAGCTAGTTTATTCATAACCTCCTGACACCCAAGCATTCACTAAACTCTTGCCACTATGGTCGAATGTACTTTACAAAGCATTAAACAGTTTTTGTTGCAAAAGCCGAAACCTTTTCCTGAATAAAACATAAACTAAGGTTTTTGCAGAGGTTTCACTATAACAAATGTTTTTTAATATTATTTGATAAAGACATTGAGCAAATTATTATTATCAATTAAGTAGTAAACAAATTATTACAAAAAATCACATTTATTGCAAGTGTCTAACATTATTAATTAGTGGAATTAAAGCTACCTGAAGATTGATCGGCACTTTGTAAAGGATGCCAGGTGTCAGAAGGATAAGAAGACTGGTACCTGAGCTAAGACAATATAAATTAATTAAGAAGTCATTATTTTAGCCATTTGTATTATTTTTCAATGTAATTCTTTTACCAGGTTGAATATATAGATGAAGACAGTTTGGACAATGAATACCATGATCAAGAATATATGGAGACAGATGAGTATGAAGAAGAAGAAGAGGAAACTGTAGATGAAGCTGCACAATTAAAAACCAATATTCAAAACATTACCCCCAATGAAACCAATAATACTATCAACCAAACCAATAGTACCATTGAAACAAATGGTGATAATGAGAAAACAGAAAAGGCTAAACCAAAAGAGGTTGATAAAGCAAATCTCTTAAAACTGTTTACAGAGGTGCAGCAAATGCAAAAGCAAGCAGTTAGCCTTAAAGACAAGTTGAAAAACAACATGAAATTACATAATCGTCAGAACAGATATCTTCATAGAATAGAGCGCCTAATAGAAAGAAAAAGGAAAATATTGGAGCAGAAACAAAAGAAAAAGTCTAAAATTTTACTATCTTTACAAGATAAAATTAGCGAAGACATGAATGGACTAGTTTTGGCGATGCCTGTCAGGCAAACTGAGGATTTGAAAAATTTTGCACTAAATATTTATAATTACTCTCCCCAAGCTTACATTTACTTGAGAAACACATTAAGAACAATGTTGCCGAGCACAGAAGTATTAGAATCTTGGTTGAGTTCTGGTTTCCAGCCAAAGACCGTTCTGAGCAGCAGTAACGTTATCAAAGTGACAGCTGAGCAAACTGAAAAAGAGTTATCATGTAAAATTTCAATAGGTTAATAGTAAAATGTAATCATCTCTACATTGTTTTTTCCAATAAAGATGATGAATTTTAATTAAGATTTTTTTTATTAAGAAGCTCTAGGAAGTTCTCGAACCTATAAAGCTACATGAATGTGAGCATAATGTAAATTTGGACATTTAAAAAGCTAGTCGTTCAATATTTTTTTACCAGTCCGGGACTTTTATCTGTGGTGAAGAGATATTAAGGTAACAAAATGGACTTATCTCCCTCCACCGACAGCACGCGTGCATGAACGTGATGTACATACATGTATATCAGCTATATCACCCTTGGTAAGGTTCCGTAGTCCTGACAAGGAACCCTTATAGTTTCGTCATGTCTGTCTGTCTGTTTTCCGAGGTTTTGCTTGCAGATTGCTGGCACGAAAGAGCTGTAATTTTGTGAAGGTATTTATTTTTATAGTATTATATCAATCACGCCAACATAGCGGTAGATATTTTTTTAAATATTTTTTTAGGGTCCCCAGCTAGTAATGTCGCAATGAGGGCTATCGCGTATGAATCCGCCGCTAGAGGCGCTAGTGTAGCGTGAGGTCTCCGAAATGTCAAATGTTATTGCTTGTTGGTTGACTACGCGGGTTTATTTCTTATTAAAATAATGTTGTGAATAATTGGTAACAATTCGGCTTAATTATGGCAAATATGAGTTATGTGGCAATGAATGTCAGTTATTAAAAATTTGAGCTTAGAAAAATGATTATGTTCCCATTTTTTCCGAATAAAACGGAACTGGGCGTCACTGTGGCATGGCCTATTATGTTTAGAATATGGTTCTTTTGTGTTAAAATACGATCTAAATGTAACCTTTGATTTCATGTGCGTATTAATAAACTTTAAAAGTTACAATTTAGGACCTCACTCAGCAGTGGCGCCATCTGGTGAGACAGAAAACGGTAGCCCTCATTACAATTGATCATTAGCTCTTATTCGGGTGCACGAAAGACATTACTCGAAATTGGGCAGTCGAAGTAATATTTACACTGGAGTATGGCCTGGAAGTAATATTTACACTGGAGTACGTACTCTGATCCGTTCGTTTACACTTGTCGTTTACCCAATATCGATCATTAAGGAGTATTGAACAACTATTGGAATTCGATAGTGGTTCGTGCTAAGGTTACAGTACACCAGGTGAGGCCGAATCTGTACTTTATAGAGTTGAGTCGGTGGGCGTGGGCCGGTGGGTAGTACCCTCGCGATGCAATAGGGATGATGACTAATTTTTCTTCGTTTATCAGGTAGATTATCAAAAAGTATTGGACACGTTTTTTTTCTTTTTTCACATAATATAAACATTGCAAAGATATATTGATTTCAAAAGTCGCATGACGTTATGTTTTGGTACAATTTTCACTTAAAAGTGACGTCACGAGCCACTACTCCCAAACTTTGACACGCTATAACTTTGTAATTTTTTGGTTGATTGCCCAAAGAAAAAATTACGTGTCCATTATTTTTTGATCATCTAACTGACAGACTAAATAGAATTTCGTTTACTGTACCCCGTCATCATCCCTATTCAGCATACCAAGTTTCTAAGAGGCCAATATGGCCACCCTCTAAATTTTAGGGCACGTAACAATCTCGAGTAACACCATGGCAGACACTCACCACTTCTAAAACTGCATTAGTATGTTAAGTTTATTAGGACGGACTAGACTGCTCCATTGCTACGTTGTGATATTGAAACTATATCTACTCGATTATGTGATGAGGCTTTCTTTGGTTTTTTTACTTTAAAGAAGCCCTAGATGGATTTGAAGAGATAAATTATGATTTTTCCGTTTAGAACAGTTTCTGAGGAGAATTCACCTCTCTCACTGCGGGCGGTCGGAGTTCGAGTCCCAGCCGAGGCAGGACTATTATCGTGGATTCATAAAATCACACCAATCTTTAATTTTTGGTTCCTTTCGTCTTTCGTTTACCTACTTACTGACAGTTCGGTTAAATGATGTAAGTTTACGTAAGCTCTCTTCTGTACTTGTAATTAAATTAGTTGCTCCTGTAAGTGAACGAAAAAGTGGGACAGGCAGAGGGCGCATATTCATAGTTAGCCTAGGGCATTCAGAACTCAAATCAGGCACTGTTTTTGTGTAGACCAATGCGTATTGAAGAATTAACTAGTTTACTAGTTTTGCAGCGATACGACTGCGCTAACAATGTCGTCTGCGAAGTGCGAAGCTGACCTAAACATACACACCTTAATAGCAATGAGAGTCTGCAATTTCATCTCCCAGGCAGAGTATGGGCATAACTAGGACAGCAGAGCAGTTCCTAAGGTAAACCTGCAGCTATCACAACAACCGAGGACTGCTGGGCTTTCTGGAGGAGCTGGGAAGTCAGGCCTATGCTATTCTTCATACAAATAGGCTCACGGTGTTGAATGGCGTAAACAGCCCCCCGTACTAGACTCGGCCATCTGCGAAGCGCGAGATGTATTCTTCGTTTCGATATTTAGGCACCGGCTTTGTAATTCATTCAGCCTCACCATTTCCTCCATTGCATGTGTGAGTTTCGAAAAAAAAACTATTTCACCCAGTTTAACATTAGGTAAGTTTCAAGGGACTATGAGAGTCCTATGACCAGACTGCTATTTTTATACATTAACACTCATTTTTCCGGTACTGTATAGGAGTTCTCGATTTGGCATTGCTGTAAGCAGACCAGTCTTTCCCAGTGGGCACTTTGGGCAAGTGCCCAGGGCCCCGTGATCGATAGGTGGGCACCTCAGATCACAAATACAAAGTCCCTAGTTCTTGTTAGATCACCAGACGGGGGTCATAGGGGCCCCATTATCCTAATATGCCCCCCTGGGATAATTAGGACCTCCAATAGGTCTAAGACGGCACTGGCTGTAAGAATTGAAGAACAGACCAGCATCTAAAAGTCTGTACAACAGTAAATTAAAAATGCTCTTCGAATTGAAATTTAAAGCTTCTCTACCTGCTACTTTTATTACTTAGCCGCCTTAGTGAAATTCTTACGTAAGTTTCAAATTAGATCGTAGACTGCTTGAAGTCTTTCTCTAAAAAGAAACGGAACTACTTGGACTTTCATTCGGGATAAGAAGTGGCCCGTACACTACACTTTTGAGATGTCTTAACCTTTCTGTGGTACTACACACTTATGGCTTGGGCAGACGAGGGACTTTAATTCGCGGAGGACAAAAGCCCCTGAATAGTGATAAAATTACCGCCGAGGAAGTGTCACGGATTTAACGCACACGGTGTGCGAACATTTGTTGCCCGAAAATTTAGACGATGGAAAAGAATATATATTTTCAGATTATAGGTACGTCTTGTTGCAATGAATCTTCTTTTTTTACTTCAACATCATGTTTAAGAAAAAAAAGACGCTTTATAGGACAAAACGAGGTCCATCTCTTTAAATAGGATCGAGCTGTGTGCGTTGCTGCTCCAGTCACATGAGTTCTATTTTTTCGGGGACTCCCGCGTACTTTTGTCCAATCTGGTCTCTAGGTGTCCTCCGTTTTTCGGGGAATTTTTGTACGCAGGACTTTTAATTTCTCTTGTGCGTTACTCGATGCAGTTGTTAGCAGGGCTGGATTCAGGATTGTGGAGGCCCCGGGCCACTTAGGATTTGTATTCTTGTTAACCCATCGAAATGTTGTCATTTATTAAGCTGTTGTGGAGGCCCCTGGGCCACAGCCCCACCAGCCCTTCCTCAAATTCGGCCATTAAGTGATTGGGGTACTCCCTCAAGATGGGTAGTGAATTGGAAGTGCTTATCAGGGCCATTTGAGATTTTGATATTTCACTGATTGCCTGATTGGAGTCAACAAATATAGATTAATGATTTCTGTTATTTAAGATTAATATAATCAAATAATCATGTATGTTAGATGTACAAAGTACTGTAGGCTGTAGTTAAAGGTAAAAGAGCAAAAAAAATATCAAAGGAAAAGATGTTTACTAGTGTTTACTAGTTGGAATTTGAAAGATTTTTTTTCCCAAGTCTATTGTGGGGGCCCCCCGTTTGTGGAGGCCCCGGGGCTTTCGCCCCAGTTACCCTCCACTAAATCCGGCAGTCGTTATTAGCGATCTATTTTCGGGGACAGAAGTCCCTCACCTGCGTAAGCAATTAAAGAAATATGATATTTGGCTGATAGTTTACGAGGATGAACATCCTCCATGCCCTGACTTCTGCGTCAAAATTCTACATATCTGACTAATATTCCCAAACATTTCCACGTTACATACATGTTTTATGGAAAGCGAAACTAAAGTTACATCGCGGAAGCATAAAAATCCACCTGTATGCATTCATGCTGTGCAATCCACAGGTAGCTAGTTCTCAATTCAGTAAGATTTTGGAGCCGGTCGTCTCGTAAGCTTTAGTTTTATAGCTAAGAAAGCACCGACAGAGCCTTACTTAACGCGTCGCTTCTGTAATAGATGGCGTCATCCCGTATTGTTAGAAAGGGAAGGCGTAACGGGCGAGGCGAGGCAAGCGCGAGTCAAACAACTGTGTTCCGGTTAACTCGCGCCGCGGCTCGCTCAGTGCCGTGGTTTCATCCGCACGAGTGCCGGTGCGGTGCCGCTCACAGAAAACCGTACACTCTCGTCGCGTGTCAACAAAAATAAATATACCCATCTGTTCAAACAACCGTGCAGTTTTTACTACGTATCCCATAAAACAAAAGCGAATTGTGTGTGTGAATGTGTGTCTGTTTTACGCTCCGACGCATGTGTCGTAAAAGGTTATAAGTTTGGTTCTTATTTTGTGTTTGCGAAGTGCTCCAGTGGTTTTTTGTTTTAGTACCGTGTACAGTGACTGGATTTGTGAACACGATTATGCCGAATGGCTTTTAAAAGGTAAGCTTGGGGAAGTATTATTCTATGTAAATAAGAAAGATTGTTTAAAATATATTATTGTTCCTTGTTATGCCAGTTGAAGTCTAGCCCGAGTCGTTAATAACAGGACTTTCGCAATCACTATTCCGAATGCGTGTGCGCAATGCCTTAAACGTGATACACAGTTGCCTTAAACGGACCACATTGAATC